GCGTGTAGGGTATGCGTGTGTGTTTTGGGAGGCAGCGATATGTTCGTGTTTGTCTCCTTGTGATAGCGCGAAACTGATACCGACTTTATAGTGCTACCTCACTGAAACAAACTGCCGAAGACACCCAGCAGGACACCCCACACGGCCACATTATACTGACAACGGGCGAACCAGTCGTCCCACTCCTAAACTGCTGAGCGTTAAGCAGGAGTAGAAACTACCATCTTTACAGACTCTGGTATGTATCAGCCATGAAACAGACCCCAAAACCTTCCTCACAGGGGCGAACGCTCAACTAAAGGCAAAAAGTGAGGCATTTTGTCAAGGGAGACATTTTGAAGAAGAAAGTTGCTAAGAAAAAAAGAGAAAAGATAAGATAACAAAGTTAGTCGCCTCTTACGATGATGCAATGGGAGCAGCAGGTACAATTCTTACGCCCTACCTACAAGGATTTTGTGTAAGGCCATCTGAATATGGTATTTATTTCACTCGAGTTAGTTAATTTTCAAAAGTTACAAAAGACACGAGCTTTAGCGAGTGTCTTTCTGTATCTTTTGAAAATTTAACTAACGAGAGTGAAATAAATACCATACTCAACAACCACAAGTCGTGTGATCTGTTTCTACCACAATCTCGGTCGGAAACATCTGGAGTATTTCCTGATTTGAATAGCATACACACATTTTGTTGACAAGGCTGGCGTAGTGATATGACCCATATGTAAAAAGTCACTCATTAATATTCAAAAAATACTTTCTTTTTACAAATTTGTTCATTTTCAAAATTAACGTTTCGGCAACAACTTCGTGAAAAAATAAAAATAGATGAAAGACTTTAAATATTGAAAGTATGCAATATTGCATTAATTAATACAAATTAACCACGGACTATATGCGCGTAAGCATATCGTACGAAGTCTGCCTCCCGCCAAGTGATGAAGAAGAACTAATCGCTGTCAATGTCCAAAACCATAGGCCTGGGACGTTTCTTCGTGAGGCTCGATGGTAGACGTTTATAGTGAGAGTTCCGCCATAGACAGGCCCTCCAAATATTGATAACTGGACATGGGAAGAACGAAACGTTTTCCAACACTGTTACAGATCTTGTTTGGGTTTCACATAGACATAGGTCTCTATCGGTATATTACGTCTCTGGGTTTTACGACCTGGACACGCGACGGTATGGCGTCGAAACAATATCGAGCGTCTGTAGCAATTTTGCCTGAAACAAACGATCAAATCTTTAAGCATCATATTATTTTGGTACTGCCTTAATAACCCCCTTTTCCCATCGCATAACCTCACAAAAGTCACCAACATTTGCCGGATGTTGACAGCAGACGACGTAAATAAAACAGCACGCGGCAAAAAAGCGCGTGAAAAAGTTCGTCCGGTCAAAGTTCATCTTCTCGACCAATCAAAACTACGGAAGGTCATATACCACGTGTGGTGTATCTCTCAACAGTCTGCATGTTTATACAATGATCTGAGAGTGGAATAACACAGCGTATTGTGGTAGAAATATACTTTTGCAATAGTTTTGGGAAATATAGTAAAACATTCAAACGAAAACACTTAATATGAAATGTAGGCAAACATTATTTCAGCAGCTTTGTCGAATACCAAAAGGTTGTGTCAGGCCGTTTGATTCTACGTCACATCACCTATATTATCTTCGTATGGTGACGTCACAACCAAAGATGTATCCTATAACAACTATTTGGTATTTCTAAACAGTTTCTTCAGGTTGGTAGGTATGGATTATAACAGGTTGGTAGGTATGGATTATGACAGGTTGGTAGGTATGGATTTGGTAGGTATGGATTATGACAGGTTGGTAGGTATGGATTATGACAAGTTGGTAGGTATGGATTATGACAGGTTAACCGTAGGTATGGATTATGAGAAGTTCTTTTTACACAACCAAAAAGATTTTCTATGTGACAATTCGATGACTAGTACAATAAGTACACCGTCACATTAAGGTTCATGTAAACACTAATAATTGACCTTCAGGTCCCTTTATTTCATGTGTAAATATTGCATTTGTTACAAGCTGTGCTGAATTGTCTTTTTCAATTATAGAAGTTATTAATTCAAACTCCCTATAGTCATGATTAAACGTTGTCCACGCACTCAATAAATACTGTTATTTGAAATATAAATGAGTGACTCGTGAATATTTTGCCACTATTTGAGGGGAAAATTAGAACTGATAACCTATTCATGTTTGAGAATTAAAATTTTGGCAAAAGTGAGATATTATATACAGTGATGTACTCCTATAAGGTCAATTATGTTTAAACATCCATATATGGATTTTGGTTAAATCGAAAGTCATCGTGTTGTGCAATGGAGGCCGCCATTTTTATTTTTTTAGCTGTCAAAAAATGGTGATTATTTCCGTCACAATCACAAGCGATCGGTGCGTCCATAAAACACCAAACGACACGAAATAGAATGCGTTGACATCGAATGAACCCTAAATAATTAGCACAGGTCGTAACCATGTGGAGTTAACGCAGTGATATTTTTTTAATTGACGATTATTTGGTGGTAATATAATGTATTGGTTAACACTTGAATACAATCGGAATTTGTAAAGAAACATAAATAGCATTGTCTAATGGTCGTCCTTTGTAACCGATTGACTTCCTGTTGGTCACCATAATGATAGTACCATTGCACATTATAATAAGCAAGTTGTCTTTTTTTAATTTCTAGTTTTAGTTTTTCTAGTTTATAACTATTGAATTTATATTTTACACTAACTTTTAGTTTTAAGTTTCTAATTGCTTCATTCTATATCATAATTAATAAAATGTAGCAAAGATATAGGAACAAAATATTTAAAACATTTTGGCCCGGGTTTAACGTCTTCGATACAGCATGTGTCTTACGACGGCCACATGAAATTCAAAGAATACAGAGAATAGGGGAAAAAGATGAAACAAGTAATGGCAGAGAGTTGGAAATTAGCATTTGAATTGAAGAAAGAAATAACAGAGAATTTAAAGTAGAAAAGTTAGCGTTCAGAAGCTAAATAATGCTTCAATGTAATCAATATAAAGATAAGTATACTACACGTAGCTTAGTTACCGCAGTCTGTGGTCTCTATAGTTTCAATTGTGAATATTTATTATTAAACTTAATCTTGCTGGCTTGGATGGTAGCGCACAAGAGGTCTTAATGTGGGAGGAAACCGGAGTACCCAGAGCAAACCCACGTGGTCGGGAAGGCAACCCCCACACCTTTTCATGTCCGAACGGGGAATCGAACCCCGGCCGCCTTTGTGAAAGGCGAGTTGTAGTTCGCTATCCACTGCGCCACCCGGCCATCCAAAATGTTGTTGTTTTTTTACCGTCAATCCGGTACGATAATATAGTGTACTAAGTCCGCATGGTTTGCGTCCGTTTGACTAACGGTTCGTTTCATACCATCTTCGCTAGCCAAGCGTTCGCTTCGTATACAAGTGGCGAACACTTGGCTAGCGAAAATGAGTTCATACTGTCCTATACATCTACACTACAGTACAGAACACGCAATAACAGCTACTCAGGTTATGTCATGTTTCACTGTAGACGAGCAGAGTTTATAGACAATAGTATAACGTAATTGTGTAATCCTTGGGGTCCGGGCTTACTCCTTTTGAAATACAAAATGTATAGAAAGTATGAAGGATGAAAAATTGGGAGAAATTGATCTGTAAAATCTTAAGGGTATAACCATAAGCCGAGATACAACAAAATGTAATCTATAGAAAAAGCTCGATATTCTTCTTTGTAGCTCTCCGAACGTATCCGACGAGAAAAACTAAAATATTTTGATATAAACTAAACCTTCATTAGAAACAGTAAACTATTATAAGGTCAAGTGGATCCCCGAATTTTGAAAAAACGTTAGATTCGCCACTCCCTGCTTTATTATACCTGCAATATTTCACAAAGAAATCTTCGAAATCATATTGAATTTGATGATGGTCGCCACAAGCCGGACACAACGTTGTGGTTGTATTTAATTGTGTACCACGGTGCACTTTTATGTGGTACACAACGATGTGATTGTATCTAATTGTGTACCACGGTGCACTTTTATATGGTACACAATGATGTGAAAAATCAAATAATTTTGTCCGGCTCCTGTCGCCTATCGTAGATTTTTTTTTCTTTTCAAAACGCCATTATATATAATGTTTCATGCATCGTTCACTTGTTCTTGCGGTTTTATGCTCGTTGAAAGAGATATCACACCCCCTAGAAAAAAGATACACACACTCTCCCAAATTGTTGGCATGGAATAACTGCGGTTTCATGGAAAATAATTTAACCCCACCCAAATTTTAATAACCATATCATTTTGTAGGAATTTGGGAATTTCAAAATGTTGACTTTTTACGTATAAAAACCCCGTCTCCCTTACTGTTTTGTTTATATACATTATTGTTTTTGTTACCATTTTTATGAATATATATAAAATTAAAGATTTTTTTTGTGTGTATGTTTTGTTTAAAAAAAACATTTGATAAAAAGTTTATGATATGACCATTTTGATATCACACCCCCAATCAGCCCTCGAGTCCTAATATCAGCCCTCGGGCCTTCGGATCTCTGGCTGATATCAGGTCTCTCGGGCTGATATGGGGTGTGATATCAAAATTACATACCTGTTATCTCTAAATATTATACAAAGCCGTAGGTCCTTTGTTTAAATAAACGTAAAGCATGCTAACATTATATAGGGACTGCAATACATGTAACAACAGGCTACGAAAGCACATGTTAAACGGACGTTGACTTCAGAAGCGCCATAAACATGCTGAGTAAATAATAAACAAAAATTTAACAGTGTCGGTGTGTGACAAGAGGTTATATAATAAATTATATGAGTGGAAAATATTATTCAGAAGCATCATGATTTAGAACAGTACAATGTCATCATCAATAAGAGGTTTCACCTCAGAACAGTTCGATGACGTCATAGTTATATTATGACGTCATCTTACTTGGCGACGGGAAGGCATTATCAACAATGGAGGATCGATCACTGGGGAGTTATCTGGAGGAATATTGACGATGATTAAGTAGTAAAGATACTGACTGGCCGAGAAATCATGAACAGGAGTACACGGGACAGCCTGTTGCAGGTGATGAAAAAACCCGAAGATAAACGGAAGGATTCGGAACTGAGCGCAGTGCTGCCGGTTCTAACATGGAAAGTTCGCTGTTTACGAGGACTTGACAAGGGTGATGTTGTGTTCTGGGGTTTTTAAGTAAAAAGTAAAGATATAAATGCGCAATCAAATTAAACCAATTTTTGTTTGTTAAATGTACGTCACAAAATATATCAAAATCATTACAATTGAGCGAAAACAAAATTAGTAAGGAGGGTTGGGTTGGTGCTCGGGACCCCTCCTTTAAGGAAAAAAATATGAGCATGATTTTAATAAAAAAAAAACAATCAGTTAAAATAACTCGATGTTTGATTCTGAAGCTCTCTAAACCTGTTCTGGCGAAAAATCCGGATATATTTTTCAATATTGATAAAACCTCCATAAGAAGTAGAAAACGTTTATACAGTCACTTGGATCCAAAAAGTTTGAAACTCTCAGGATCCGCCCTCCCTTTAGCTAAATATACCAACTTAAAATGGCATGGGGTCTCGTTGGTTGTTGCTGAATGGATTAGAACTATATCAATTGTTTGCCTAAGGTTTGATGGGTACCTGGTTCGAATCTGTAATGACCCGTTGAATTTCCTAACATGTTACATAGAAGTAGAATGTGGGTTTGATGTTTCTGGTTCACAGGTAAAGTCATGGAGATCTTACGAGTTTGCTATTACCGGAAGTGCCATCGGGATTATGTCATCAGGAAGCAGGGAAAGCCCTGGCAGAGGTAAGTCATAGTGACGACCAACCATCAACGAAACCAACATGACACTGATCAATGAACCTCGTGCTGTCTCCCACCCATTTGCATTTTTCTATATTTCACGAAATGTACATGCAAATCACTTTTTAAAAAAAACCTACTAATTGACCAAGTTACTAACGTCGGAAAGTTATTTGCATATTCAACCAAGTCTGAAATGAAATTATTTGAATCGGTTCGAAAAGATTATTGTGGACGACATTTTAATCGTTGCCGTGAAACAAATAAATAATTAACCTCTCCACCCGAGTCGGTATACACGATTTTTTTTTTATTCAAGCGTACACCAAACCCGGTGCGCATTTCCCCCCAAAAGACACTACATGTACATTGTACCGCGGACGTTCTGGCTATCTCCATCGGGTCATTTTTTTGTAAAGTCAATTACTTCAGACTAATATTCAACCCTTCGATGTTAATGGGAAAAAAACTGTAAAAACAGAACAATGACAAATATTCATTAATCATATAGTAACTACCATTTATTTATAATATAAATTACACATATCTTGTCTAGTTCAATTATGTGTTAAACGTTAAGATCGCATATAAATATTCATTTATTCCAGACTTTATATCGTCATGCGCGGGAGCCTAACAATATATTTCAATGACGAGGGAGTGGGTGGTACACCGGAACCGGAAGTCGATGTCAAAGAAGAGGAGTCCTGCCCGAGCATTCCGACCTTTCCTCCAATATTTGGGTTCGCTTCAAAGACGAAGAAAACAGTTCGCTTCAAAGACGAATCGAAGGATTACGTTTTAGATCGAAGGAAGCTAGGGAGAAGTGTAGCAACATTAGGTACTGATTATAGTAATATCAAAGTCACGTGAACATTCTTACCGTCAACCCGGGACCTCTGGTTCACTAGTCTGGCTTTCTACCGAATGAGCTAAAGATAATTCCTCCCTAACCGAGTCGGTAGGAAACGGCCACCAGCATGGCATGCTCCCTCTCCATAAGAGATTCTAGTGGTAACCGCGATGTTTGTGTGAGCAATACTGAGTCTTTTGTCAATACTTTCTACATGGGCGACGATGCAATGCATGTCCCTCTGCTGAAATACTTACGAGATATTCTCTGTAGTTCGGTAGACTAATTTGATTTAGCTGTCTGTAGCCCGTTGGTCTTAGCGAATGCACTTCGAACTATGGTCTCAGTTACAAGTGTGGCAGGTTTTAATTGTACATAACATTAAGGTCGCCTTCTAGATTCAAGCTAGAGGGAATTTCCCTTTAGCTCAGTGGTAGATCGTCCGACTAGAAACCTGGAGATCGACCGTTCGATTCCCGGTGGAAGCACGCGCTATTCTCTTTGCTTTTACACAGGTTTTAGAGGTCCCATCTTCGTCAGAGTTATTACTTAAAAGTCCTTGCCGAGTGGTTAATACATTTGACCGTCTACGATCACTAGCTCCATCGCTGGGTCGTGGGGCAGTCGCCAGGTAGCATCATCCTATACATTAGCAGCTAATGCGTGGGTTGAGCTAGCCTGTGACATAAGTGGTAAATTTAGCTACATATGTTATTTCAATGAATGTTCTATCGTTCAGTGAGTTCGTCTTGGTTTTCACAGAGGGCCTGCAGTCCTTCGGCCAGTTGTCGTTCCTGTCAGGTGATTTCGCAGCAGAGGGCACTGTTGTAGCGGATGAGAAAACGGAACTGATGGTCATACCTGGCAAAAAGGTTCTTGAAAGAGTACAGGTAAATTCCGGACATCTGATACGCAATTGGGAAATGATACAAAAGTGCAACGTATTAATATAGATCTGACACTATTACGATGGACGAGCAACTGAAGCCACCAGCACTGTTCGTTAATTACTAAAAAAAGGAGAAAAATGGTCAAAAAGGAGGAAATTCCTACACCTTAAACATGTCTATCATAAGTCAATTAACGTTAAAGCTTACAATATATAATGACCAAATATGGTTTTGGATAGTTCTCATTTATAACTAATTCATGCTTGGAACATTCGCGTGCTGTCTAAGTGACACTTAAACGGAGGATACCGAACACATACATGTATCACCTTTCGATACGTAAAAATAACGTGGTGGTCGCTTCTACTTTGTCAGTATGAAAAGCAATCAAATTGGCTAAATACACGACCTTTAATTTATCAATATTTCCGTTATTCACTAGTGTTGACTTTAGCTATTCAATGTACAGACATTTATATAAATATGTAATATTCATTGTAGAAACCTGACGACGGCACTACCGTGAACTAAAACTTATTTCCATCTCATTTAAGGATTGAATCCTGAGAAAAATTCAAAATGAAAAGCGTGAACTTAGTTGGGCTGGAAACAAATACAAAATGAACAGCTCGCAGTTCATTTTCAATTTGTCTCAAGGCCGACTTCATGTCTCAACCCCACAAAATCGACCAGAGTAAGAAATTGCCTCAAGAACAACTTACTCCATTACCCCATGACCAAAGCAAGATCCATCCTTATATCTTAATTAACCAGTGTTTTTCAATAGTTGGAAGTTTTGAAATTCTATATAGTTTGTCGCTTATACTGGTGTTTGCGGAAGTCTACGTATTGACGTAATGTACACAATATAGTCCATCATTGGACGACTGTCATACAGCGATGTAGTGTAAGCTGATATTGCAATACAGCAATATTATAATATAATAAAATACCGAAACAGCTTCAAAATGTCATCTAATTGTATCTATTAATTCTAACAAAATCTAAAATCATGTATTCATACGCATTGGCAATGTTAAACTGGTCAATTTCATAAGCTTATTATACATAAAGAAACAGCAAGATATTATAGTTTCATTGAGTCCAACCTGAGCAGAAATTGAAAGTTATGAGGATAACGCCGTGTCTTGAACTTGGATTGTTTTTAGTATCGATTTAGTAGTATGCCTATTTTAACAAAACACGAGGTAATGTATATTAGATGGTAAATATAAGTCTTTGGAACCGAATAGGTGACAGCCCCACCTTTAATTCTATCGACTTTGAGTTTGAAATTTGAATCTAATTATGGTGCTTCGGACATACCGGCACGATTGCCAGTGATTCATCATATTATTTTAACGAAATATTGCGTCATACCTTTACCTGATTTTAGATTTGGTCGGAATTTCATTTCGCTATGTCGTAACTGCAACATTCTATTTCAGAATCCACAAGTAACAAACTTGTACGATGTGCTTTGTCGTAATCATAACATAAACATTATACAATTTCAATGTGACAATGACACGGACAGGCTTCCATACAAAATCATTCTACTATCCAGATTCTTTCTATCAAAAGCTTAGAGCTAATAAAGTAAGAAGACCCTTTACATACGACAACAAATTGCATATAGATTATCTGAATACGCCTTTTATCTAAATTTGATATGGACTTCGACTTCAAAATAATTAGTTTGAGAAGAAAAAATCATTTTATGCATTATATCGAATTAATAATGAACAACTATGTGAAATCAATAATGCCTATACTCAAAAACTTGCCTCATTTTGTTTTTACTTTTAGTTAATAATATGTGTGATGTATTGCATTTAATATGATTCGATATGATATTCGTGGACGCAGGCATCACTGCCTCTATGTTCACATTAATATAATGGGTAATGCATTGTGATTAAAATGTAACTTAGTCTATTCATACATGTAAGATGATTATGATCGTATATCATCTCAATATCTGTCAAAATAATTTCCAAGGATTTTCTCAAAATCAAATAAGTACAAGATTAATTAACATACCTGTCTTGTATTACATACCTGTGATATATTACATACCTGTGATGTATAAAATACCTGTGATGTATAACAACCCTGTGATATATAACATACCTGTGATGTAAAACATACCTGTGATGTACTACATACCTGTGATATATAACATACCTGTGATATATTACATACCTGTGATGTATAACATACCTGTGATATATTACATACCTGTGATGTATAATATATCTTTGATATATTACATACCTGTGATATATTACATAACGGTGATATATTACATACCTGTGTAGTATAACATACATGTGATATATTACATACATGTGATGTACTACATACCTGTGATGATTACATACCTGTAATGTAGTACATACCTGTGATATATTACATAACTGTGATGTATAACATGCCTGCGTTGTATAACATACCTGTCATGTATTACATACCTGTGATATATTACATACCTGTGATTTATAACATACCAGTGATATATTACATACCTGTGATATATTACATACCTGTGATATATTACATACCTGTTATTTATAACATACCAGTGATATATTACATACCAGTGATATATAACATATCTGTGATATACTACATACCAGTGATATATAACTTACCTGTGATATATAACATACCAGTGATATATTACATACCAGTGATATATAACATATCTGTGATATACTACATACCAGTGATATATAACATGCCTGTGATATATTACATACCTGAGATGTATTACATACCTATGATGAATAACATACCAGTGATATATTACATACCTGTAATGTATTACATACCTGAGATGTATTACATACCTATGATAAATAACATACCAGTGATATATAACATATCTGTGATATACTACATACCAGTGATATATAACTTACCTGTGATATATAACATACCAGTGATATATTACATACCAGTGATATATTACATACCAGTGATATATAACATACCTGTGAGGTATTACATACCAGTGATATATAACATGCCTGTGATATATTACATACCTGAGATGTATTCCATACCTATGATAAATAACATACCAGTGATATATTACATACCTGTAATGTATTACATACCTGAGATGTATTACATACCTATGATAAATAACATACCAGTGATATATTACATACCTGTAATGTATTACATACATGTGGTCTGTTATAAACATTCTATCTGTTACAGGTTTACGAGAAAAGAGAATTGGATCAAAAGAAACTTTTTGTGAGAACTCACTCATTTTTCTCCAAATCGTCTGAAGCACATCAAGAGCTAATCATCGCTGCCCTGACCAGGAGTTACTGCCCTTTAGGGTGTACCATTGTAAGACAGGGATCTCCCGTTGTTGGTCTGCATTTTCTCATACGGTAAAGATTTTCAGCGTTAGTTTTTACAACGTTACTAATTTTAGAGCCTACGTCGTTAACCGTTTAATATCGGTCAAGGCAGAAAAAACGCACTTCATAAAATTTTAATGAAAACCCTGATGAAATATGATGTCTTTTAAATAACAATAAACAGGTAACATGGGAACATCACTGTTTGACTTGTGTTGAACAAGGGCGATGTTTTTGTTCCCAGATAATGTTGATCAAATTAAATCAATATGTTTGTCTTTAAAAGAAATTGATTTAACATGATTTACACTTTGAAAAATACGTATGCCATCAATGTCAGGTTGTTACGAAGTTGACATATGTGAGTAAATTTCAAAATTAATTTAAATTCTCTACCTTTTTAGTAATTGATTTACATGTATAATTGATAACAATTTTAATTTGATATTTGTATTGTTAAGTAAGCTAGATACATTAATTGGTGTATGTCATAGTATATACACGTTCTTAAGACATACAAAGGTACATAAATTACAAAATCATCTGTAAATGTACAACTTTTAATTTTGAACTAATATTTAGTTTGGATAATTTCAATTTACAGTCATCATCGTTTTTTCTACTTTGCAGAAATTTGTAGATATCATCGTTTTTGATTAAGACGAATTTTAAATTTTTCAATTTGTGTCTAATCCTTTTTGTATTTTGCAAATAAAATATGTTTAAATCAAACAGACCAACAGACACCCATTGCATTGCCTGTAATATATCTGGTGCGTTCTTACATATCGCGAGTGCTAATTTTCCGAATTTCGCTTCACACGACTTATTTTCAGATGTATGTAATCTCAAAATGTTTATATGAACAACCCCAAACATCTACTCAACAGGCAAATAGTGTAACCCTTTTCCTATAGATGTCACTTTTATGACTGACACTTGTTTGGTTTACATAATCTGCTATCGCCATTACGCTCACAGCCTCAGGTTTTCATTGTGCCTTCCTTATCATTGTAGGGGTCGTGCCCGTCACAGCCTCCGATACTCATTGTGACTCCCTTATCATTGTAGGGGTCGTGCTCGTCACAGCCTCTGGTACTCATTGTGACTCCCTTATCATTGGAGGGTTCGTGCCTGTCACAGCCTCCGGTACTCAGTGTGACTCCCTTATCATTGTAGAGGTCGTGTCCGTCAGAGCCTCCGGTACTCATTGTGACTCCCTTCTCATTGTATGGTTCGTGCCCGTCACAGCCTCCGGTACTCATTGTGCCTCCCTTATCATTGTAGATGTCGTGCCCGTCACAGCCTCCGGTACTAATTGTGACTCCCTTATCATTGTAGGGCTCGTGCCTGTCTCAGCCTCCGGTACTCATTGTGACGCCCTTATCATTGTAGGGTTCGGGCCCGTCACAGCCTCCGGTACTCATTGCGACTCCCTTATCATTGTAGGGTTCGTGCACGTCACAGCCTCCGGTACTCATTGTGACTTCCTTATCATTGTAGGGGTCGTGCTCGTCACAGCCTCCGGTACTCATTGTGACCCCCTTATCATTGTAGGGGTCGTGCCCGTCAAAGCCTCCGGTACTCATTGTGACTCCCTTATCATTGGAGGGTTCGTGCCTGTCACAGCCTCCGGTACTCATTGTGACTCCCTTCTCATTGTATGGTTCGTGCCCGTCACAGCCTCCGGTACTCATTGGGACTCCCTTATCATTGTAGGGGTCGTGCCAGTCACAGCCTCCGGTACTCATTGTGACCCCCTTATCATTGTAGGGTTCGTACCCGTCACAGCCTCCGGTACTCATTGTGTCTCCCTTATCATTGTAGGGTTCGTGCCTGTCTCAGCCTCCGGTCCTCATTGTGACTCCCTTATCATTGTAGGGTTCGTGCACGTCACAGCCTCCGGTACTCATTGTGACTCCCGTATCATTGTAGGGTTCGTGCCTGTCACAGCCTCCGGTACTCATTGTGACTCCCTTATCATTGTAGAGGTCGTGTCCGTCACAGCCTCCGGTACTCATTGTGACTCCCTTATCATTGTAGGGGCCGTGCCCGTTTGTCGACGACATCTTCAAAACACCGAAAGCAATATCCAGATATCTTCATTAACTACGATGAATTTCGAAATTCGCCTGATCCCAGGTAAGTTCGATTCAAACCTCATTAGGGTTATTCATGTTAGCAATATAGAGGCACTTGGTGTTGGCACCCTCATTTAAAAAGCTATATGTGTAGTAAGACATTTCCCACAAAACCCTTTCGTTAACATCAAATATAGAAAAAGGCAACAAGACCTCAAAACATTACTGCATACCGGGAAACGTTCGCCCAGTCAAATATTCGCCCTTTGCCGATAAAATCAATATTCGCCTATGATAATTCCGCCCTTTTTATGTACTTACTGTAAATTGTATGGCGTGTACTAATTTTCGCTCTCAGGGTAAATCGCCCTCAATGGGGAGGGCGAAAAAGGCAAACGTTATACTACGGCGAAAATGTCCCGGTATACAGTAAATTATCGATGAGTTTCATCTTTAAATATCATTTCAATAACGAAAAGTGTTTGAATTGATTTCTCTTGAAATATACGTTTGTGAAATAAGGAAATGTGATTCAAAATCCAAGTTCAGCATAGTAATAGAATGAGTGTTCTTGTTCCACAGAGATGATTTGATTGTACGCCTGCCTTCTATAAACATGCGGGAACGAAACACGATGGCTCCCCACGCCTACGTGCGACGTACTGCCGGGTACGCCGCGGCGGAGAAATTAGTCTTCGACCGAAACATCGAGCTGTGCTTTGTTGAAGAAGGTGAGATTTGTGGTGATACCGAGGTATTGTTGGGATTAGATACACATATTTTCACCGTAACAGCATCGACGCCGTGCGAATTGTACACGTTAAGCCTGAAATGTTACGAAAATCATATCCTCAAGAAAAATTCACAAACCATCAACCTCATAAAAATGGTGGTAGAAACTAAGCTCCTGGGTCGGAAATCCACCATCCCCGGAAACAAGATCGAACTTCTGCCGTTATTGTTGTATCGCCTGCGATTCATTCGTCAAATTCACATGGACATGGCGGGAGAAACGAACGAAACCGGAACTGAAATAAATATTCAGCGCCACGGATCTTATGAGAGTCCACATGATAAGGATGCAAGGCAAAAAACTGTCAAAAATATGCATTCGCTTGAAAACAGGGGAAGTGAAGGAATGATCGTCGACTGGTATAAAAGAAACAAAGCTCCTCTTCTGAGACCAGTAACAGAGGGTGCTGTATACTACAAAGAAATGATGCAAAAGCGCTCCAAAATGAGGGAGGAAATGAGAAAAAAATACCCCAACGATTCAGCTGTATGTCAGGTTATCCGCAAGCGCGTGAAGGATGCCATACTGGCCAGTATCAAGGATGGATTCAGAGCAGATAACATGGTTAGAAAGGTTCGGCTTCAACTATCAAACGGGAGGGCATGGACAAAGTGGAAGTGAGGAATAGCGGCTATCCAAGGACCCAACGATGATAAAATCGAAATGAAAATAATGAAACATGTTTAAAAGAAGAAACTTAACAATGAGTGGATTGGGGGAAAAATCAAAATTATTATAACCATTTGAAAATTTTCAAATATAACAAATTAAAAGAATCTTGTAGCATCTCGTATTATGAATTGTTTGTCGTGTATATAAAAATAATGGGAATAATTTAATATATATATGTTAATAAATTGCATTACTTTTCCTCTAATGGCGTTATTCCTTATCTATACTACCTGTATCACAAACTGCAGCATAGAGGTTCTAAAATACAAGATTCATTAATAAAATGATGTAAATAATGAGCTGCAAATTGATCTTCCAAATACCGAAACAAACCTTCTAATCCATTAAAATTAGGTGTAATTCCCCCTCCTCTCCTAGCTCCGAGCTTCCCAACCTTTTTGCTTTTGAACAAGAGGGCGAATTAAAAATCGAAGTGAAAAGACAAAGAGGCGAAAACATGAAAAAGCGGGCGAAAGGTACTAGAGTGTGAATTGAGGGTGGGGCGAATAGGCGGCGAAATGAACACGAGGCCGCGTATAAACTTATAGATCGAATGGCATACGGGGCGGTTTGACCTAGATAGTGAATTTAACATGATTAGGAATAGACCTTGGGTCGAATTGATCTCGAGGGAGAATTAAACAGGGTCGAAATGACGTGTATTATTGAACACTGGGAAAATAGACTTAGTGCGAATTGAAGAAAGGGTCAAAACGTTTACATAAATGTATGAAACATTTGTAGAAAGTCATTGACATCACACTTCTATATGATTCCAAAAACCTATTTCAATGGTAAGTGCGTTTGTTAGTGGACGCTTCCAGTCTGTGGTTCAATTCGCAGTATATAGCTGTTGTTATATAACTTCAGAAAGGCTACAAGGAAACTATCTCCAGGTCCTCGTATGACACGAGACATACAATGTTCCGTCTATGTCTTATATAAAGCTGTTTCCTGTAAGACAATCGCCATATTGTATCAGCGCACAAACGAACCTTCACGCAATTTTCACTGTGGTCGATTATAAATATATGTTGCTCGATTGCAAAGGAACGAGCACTTGACAAAACAGTCGGGAACTTCCGCTGCTGGTTACGGCATACAGAAATTTACATTGTAAATGAAATCATGTTTCCTGCTTGACAATTGAAATAGGAGAGACCGGATTTCGTCGGGGAAAAGCCTGATTAGATATCGTGTTTAACGTGGAGGATGGTTAAGTCCGCTTATCTGCCAGTACATTATCTCCATATATTGCTTCAAGTGAAGAATTGTCTCTAAACGGATGTTATAATACTGACAAGGAAGTCAAATTCAACAGGAGTCTTGTCTCGATAAACAAACAGGCTGTTTAGGATAGACAAGGCGCTGAATGTGTTCTTTGACAAGCCAATATAACTTTATTCAAAGACAAACACGATTCCACACTTAGTTAGTTCTGCGCACAGACCTGGTACGAAACTAAATTGGACGCGATTTTGTTTTCAATTACCCATGATCTTACCCGGAACAAGCGCTTTGTATCGGCCGGAAACTAGTTTAGCGAAAATGTAAAATAAATGAATTTCTGGTTGAGCATTTTCAATTAAGTTTTTAAGCAAGAGACTATGTAGAAGGTCGAAATAGACTTTACCAGATTGGGAACAGTTCCCTATCGACGCCGGAAAAATCGAAATGGTGGCAATGGTTCTTCTTCCTTTTGAGTTTGTGCAAAAGAACTTGAGGTTGGAGACCGTGGTAGAGACTCGAGGAACATGAGCAGATCCAGGGAGAAGAGTCAGTGCTAGGATACAAAATATATATTTACAGGTTCTGTGTGCTTTAACCCCGTGTCCTCTTTCACAAAATCATTGATCTGCGCCTGAAGTACTAAAGTCATTTAGAGAGATTTGGCTGACAACCGAAAGAGATGAAAAAAAATTCTTTTCCTGTTAGGAATGCAGGAAATGTTGTTAAGGTTATCTGGACACACGACGAGGAAGGCACACACACACACACACACACACACACACACTCTCACACACACACACACGAAATGGAGACGTTTGTTATGATTCATATACATGAAAGAACTTATAATCGGTTGTCAACAGGAATTTTCCCGGCCATTTTTTTTTTTTAACTTTTCGGCTGAATGATGAACCGGTTTTTACACTCACAGGTTAATTAGTTAGCCGGTTTCACACATAATAGTTTGAATGGCTAATAGTTTCACACACATTAAATAGGATGTCAAGCAAACATGCTTTGTGACGTCACATTCCATAATATTGGGACGTCATAGTTCATGGCAATTCAAATTGCGATCAGAAACAGAAATAATGGATTACCACGGGAAACAAATGGTTTTCTAGATAGGCCTATACTATCTGGCCGTTGTGTGAGAAATAGTCCCCAAACTTGTGACGGTTGATTATCATGTTTATAGACACTCGGTAAGCCTCGTGTCTTCATACAATTTGAAAATAGGCTGATTCGAGTTAGATAAACATGATAACCAACTATCAATCGTTGAGAACTTCTATGTACATACTACAACAAAAATCACGTGGACTTTGTATTTCCCGGAAATGTATAATTACACATTTGCGATTATTCATGAGGTACACTCTGATCTAGATAACGGTAAAAAGAAATTTGAATGATTTTCTGTGATAGTGACAAAGTATTCGACCATGTTTGATATAGGGTCTTCTTTGTACACTAGTTTTGGAGTTCTAGGTTCACGACTAAATTAGTTTGAAAACTATCTTGTTCTTTTTTAAAGATTGTAATTGTAAACAGATATGTGTAATTAATGGTAAACGGTAGCATTGGCCAGACATTAAAGCTGGGTTTCCCCTAGGTTCCATATCGGGCCCTCTTATAAACCTTAATAGTAAATGGGAAAGTTACTACCCCTCTTCATCCTCCCCTTAACGTGAGTAATACAGTCATTAGTGAATTTACGTCGCATACACATCTAGTATTATTTCGGTCTGGTAACTTAAATTTACCTTAAATCGAATGTGTCTTCAAACTATGTATTTCACTCAATGATAAAAACTTTCTTTACTTTACAACAATTATGAAATTACACTGTTGGTCCGAATGTTAGCGCGCAGGGGTCTTAGTTTGGGAGGAAACCGGAGTACCCGGAGAAAACCTATGTGTTCGGGCAGGTGTCCCCATACATTTTCACATCCTACCCGAGAATCGGACCCCGGCCGCCTTGGTGAAAGGCTAGTGCACTATCACTGACCACCCCACTGTTATACGACCCATTTTTTTAGTATGGTAAGTGTTTGCGACTGTCTTACTAAATCCCAATCCAACTTATTAGCAGAACTCCAACTGGAAGTAGCTGGCATACTAACTGGTGGTACTAGACTCACTAGTAGAGTTAAACTTTATCTTTGAGAGCTGGCTTCCCCTGGAGCAAAAGCGTAAACATTACAAGATAATCCAATATCATAAAATGATTCATGGTCTCGTTCCGAGATACCTAAAGAATATTCTTCCTCGACGTAACAACATCATTCAAGATCACAACATCCATGTTAGTATGATATAAGTTTAGCTCAATCTTTTGTCGAACACATCCATACACAAAATGTTTTCTGCCTTCTGTAATCGATCTTTGTAACTCCTTCCTAGACTGCAGAAAAGTTGACCCCTCTAAAGCACGATTAAAAAGTTACCTGTTTGAACCATCCCACAAGGTCCCACCTCCTACTGTATAGGTTGTAGGCTGGGTGTGATCCACTATGCTAGACTCAGAATGGAGTGCTGTTCTCTGACATTTTACTTGAATCCTTTGTATATGTTCATGTTTGGAAAACAACGAGACAAATCAATATTGTTTATGACACTACCGTGTTTTTCACAACTCCGAGTACGCGTCTTCACTGAGATAAACCGTCCAATTCTAACTGAATTACATAATGAACTGTTGTGTGGTGATGATGAATTGACAGATGGTGAAAATGTAACAATATTCTCATGAACTAAAGATTTCAATAACAGCTTAAGTAGATTTTCTCTATTTCAATCTACACATGTCTTTCTGTGGATTATCCGTGGTCGTATCTTTTTACCATAATTTAACACAGGGAATAACGAAGTAACTTTCTTTCCCCTCTCTTTCTCTCCTACCCTCCTCTACTTTCTTTTTTCTCTCTTATACTCAACGCATTGCTGCATTATTATTATTTTTTTTTAAATATTACGGCATAAATCATGTGGTCTTCAACTGGAGATATTACTGTACGTTGTAAAATTCGTTTGCAAAAGCTGTTTCAACAATTATGCATTGCATGATATTATACTGTAAACGGAAAAAGAGATGAAACAAAGTGTATGTTAAAGAACGATACATGAAATGATAACCATTTTCGAGGGAATAAAATAAATTATGCATAGATACAAAAGTTAGAGAAAACGTTGAAGAAACACGACAGTTACCTTTCCAAATATGTTATATTCCGCTACACACTGGCGGTTCTGATGGCCTTTTTGTCCTATAAGTCGTATGAAAAGCAAAACAAAATTAGAAAAATGTGGTCGACATGTCCACCATAGAAGTTGATTTTGGTCAAAAAGAACCACAGAAAGTATAAAGAGACGCCGGAAAAAATGAAGCTCATATTGAAAAGGTATAAAGTTAAATTTTATAAAGCATAGAATCTTGTGAAATGATTGGGATATATAGCCAAAGTAATTTGTGTCCTGCATTCTCGAGAAGGAGGTCAAATATCATAAATACGGTAAAAATCTTGTTCGTCAAATGCATCCTGACAAACGTCGTTCGCGAGGTAAATGTATGGATTCACAGACTCGGTGAAAATCGGACAAGGCCTGTCGCACGTGACACGTTTCGATTCGGTCATCTTAGACGATCTGATGATAGCAGCCGACTATGTTAACGAAGATAATCTAACATAGAAATACATCAACATATGTCACCGAAGCATCATTGTTCACGCTCATAACATCGTCCTAAGATTCCTTGCTTACATGACTGTTGTAGCAAACATTTCCCGGGGGAGGGGAGCTACATTAATTACACGATATCTATATTGGGGCAGCAGTAGAACCTCACGGTTACCTAGGTAGTCAGGAAGAAGTTAGATTAAGTAAGATAATCAAGAAAGAAACATCTTTTTGATTTAGTTTCGATGAAGAAAGCCAACAGAAGTTAACGACTATCATTCTAACCAGGAAGTGTTAACGAGTTGATAGAGCGCTCAATTGCCATAGAAAAATCTGAGAGTTATGCAATACAGAACAAAAACAAATGTGAACAAAATCTGACGGAGAATATATAAACGTACCGCTCTTTAATAATCAGCACATACATAGTCCTATTGCTTTATCGAAAGACTGACGTCAATGAGGCTGACTACCAGGAACTTCTAACTAACACCACTGGAATGAGGATATACATCGTCAAAAAATGATAAAGTTCTGTCAATGCCTCTGATGACAAGAAGCAAGTTCCAGACTAAGTACTACCCTGTAGAATACTACAATGCTTTTCAGCTTTTTGTTTTCGAGATTGCATCTGTTTACTAGGTTCGATGCAACATGAGAATTCTTGCAATTTTCCGGGACATGTACTCAGACAGACACTCAGTTTAAGAATTAAATCTGTAAATTCAGAAAAAAATAAAGGATAGAGAATATAGTCTAGTTGTTTTCATTACTGTAGTTTCCCGTTTCCTATTAAATCTTAAACGAGTGTTGAAACTGGGCTGCATCCTATACAAAAAAAGCAGTTATGTTGTTGATCAATTCTATAGATAGAAAAGGTGAACATTTCAAGTGTCGTATTAAACAAAAAGTCATCTCGAAACTATGTATAGTGGTTTTATTAGCCTTCCTCACGCCCGCCATCGTTTTAATATCCTCTAGCAACTCGATCAGCTTAATAATTATTACAAACATACTATTTCTGTTACTGCTACAATCGTATAGCACGAGTTTTGTTCGTGCTTCAGAAATAGTTTTCGTTTATTTCAGTAGTTTCCGATACTGAATAAATATACCTTCACAACTTTCTCCTTTTATTAAAAACGATATGCGGGCTATCTATAATGTTAACATGAACTATTAATGTTTGCACCATTGCTTTATTATGTAGTTTTAATTTCCAACGTCTATGTGTATGCATAATACTAAATAGCAAAGGCCCGACACCGTCTGTGTACGATATGTTCAAGCAAAACAATTTGTCCTTTTATGTGTGTTTAATCAACATATTAGACGCAATGAAACTACCAAACGTAACGTTTGTCAGTGAAGAAGCCGAACATGAGGATACCCTTGCATGGCAACTGATCAACAAGTCAAAATTTACTGCCATGAAAATGTTAAATGCCAACATAAAAATTGAATCTTGATATGATTAATTTCATGGGATGGTTTTGTCTCGAGAATAAAATCCAACCTGGATTTTATCGCGATTCCTTTAATTCGTCTCAACACCAACCCATGTCAGCACAAATCCTCGATACTCCACGGGTTACCCTCACTTATTCTCTGTCGAGAGAGCGAAAGTGAGCGTAACTCCTAGAGTATCCAGGATGGTCAGCACCCCTGATACATGCAATAACCATAGCAAGACTCATTCCTTGACTGATTTTTTTTTTTTAAATATCTGCTTTCTTTTCATATGCTTGTTCTTATTTCTATTGCTAATTAGCAATTTCCATTTCGGATGAAAATCCCTATTGTTATCCTATAGGATGTAATAGTAGACATGCAATAACCATAGCAAAACTCATTCCTTGACTGTTTTTTTTTTTTTTTTTTTTTAAATATCTGCTTTCTTTTGATATGTTTGTTCTTATTTCTATTGCTTATTAGCAATTTCCATTTCGGATGAAATCCCTATTGTTATCTTATAGGATGTAATAGGATAGACATGCAATAACCATAGCAAAACTCATTCCTTGACTGGTTTTTTTTTTTTTTTAAATATCTGTTTTCTTTTCATATGCTTGTTCTTATTTCTATTGCTTATTAGCAATATCCATTTCAGAAGAAAATCCCTATTGTTATCTTATAGGATGTAATAGGATAGACGATGGGCGCATGTAATTACATGTACTTGCCTCTATGTCCATTTCATTTAATACAACAATATTAATTTACAAATCACTTCCATTGTTAGATTTGTAGCTAGCTAAGTGATTAAATTACAGTTCAAGATGTTTCCAATGAATGTCAAAACTAATTTCAAAGTATTTAATTGTTGTATTGTACGCCTGTATGACCGCCTCGGTTAGACTGTTCCATACATCAACAGTTCTGTAGCCAAATGAACGTTTCCTAATAGCTAATTTACAATGTGTTTCTTTTTTTCTTTTTCTTTTTTTGTGTGTGTATGCCCTCTTGTTCTAAATGATGAATCTTAATCAAAGAAGCCAGCAGTAACTTTGTTGTCGTGAAAATTGTTAAAAACGGATGGACCAGCGCATTGAAAAGCTGTTTAAAAGTTACATCCTCCAGATATACAACTGATCGTCTAATTAGCCCCACAATGCTGTTTGCTTTGTTTACGGCTTGTTGAATATGTGACGAAAAATTCAGATCCTTATCAATCAATGCTTCAATGTCTTTTTCAGATGATATATTTTCCAGTCTAACTTTATCTTCTCCTGCATTAGCCATTTAGTAGCTTCTCACCTCCTTTCTTTTTATTGAAAGTGCATGTACTTTACATTTAAGGGGGTGAAATTAGCCATGTGTTGGACCAGTCCTGTTAATTATCCAGGTCTTGTATCACTTTTCAACCATCATCGCCCCTAATTTCTTTATCTTTATTTTGTGTCGTCAGCAAACAAGAAGGTATTCGATAACGTACATCCTTGCAGGATTCTGCTTAATACGGGATGATCTCTATGGATGAATTTCAATTTACAATTACCTATTGTTTCGTTTGTTTACGAAGATAGTGTAGATATTGTTTCTGTCCTTTTTCCTTTCCCTTTGTCGTTTCTCTTTTCTTTTCTTCCTCTTTGTTCTTTCTCCTTTTTCACAACTTTAAAATTTGATTTAGCATTTGTTTTTGTCGACCATTTGTTGGCCCTAATGACCTATCTTGTGTTGATGGGCCATTAAGCATTGATAATGATAATAATGAAAATCCTGTTGTTTTTTTTTTATCAAATCTAGTTTTATGTGGGGTTTTTTATAATCCCCGTTAAAATTCACGCAATGGCACTACTCCTCTATGTAAAGGATCAAAATTAGGTAAACATTCGTATAACAAAACCTTCATTAAAGTAACATTAATTAACAAATATGGTTGAACAAAGTCACACATTAAAGTCTTTATTTCATTTTACATAACAGAATACTCACAATTCAAAATACTTCATGAATATAGTTTTTTTTAGAGAAATTCAATGGTAGAAAAATTACTGTATCACGGGTTTTTGTGGTAATTTTATTTTTGCGCATATTGCAGTGATTTGAAATCGCCAATTCAACACTTCCACTACAATATCAAATTATCTAGATGTCATACTGGCCAGTTATGATAATTAAAATGTGAATCACATTTCATTGTTCTGAGCGCGAAAATAAAATAACACTTCCTAATTCAACCCAAAGTAGTAGTCCGAATTATTCTAACGTTTTATCGACTTTTTTTTTATCAAAAGAGTCGATAAAACGTCCGAATAATTCCGACTACTCAAAGTAGTAGTCCATACTCGCCTCTCATACCTCTTCCATCTGCCTCTTTCTAAACACTCTGTGGCATAATTACTTAGTGTTATATTGAGCTATTACATGCAGGAATTGACCCTTTCACCCCTGTAAACCATAACGGACTTATCCAGATCAATAAGTGGTAGAGTTTACTAAAGTTACATACGGATGAAAGGGTTAATTGATTTCATACCAACAGTTATCGTAAATAGGTGCCTTTGAATTAGCTTGAAAAGCGCCTAAATATCATTACTGCTCAATCATATGTTGACAACATTATATAGAACATGAATAACAGGAAATAGGTCACAGTGAAAAGATGGATACTGGGCTATAAACGATACATATACGACTTCTTGCACAACAAACAAATTGGACTCTGAAAAGAAATGTTTAATGTGGGCAACATAATTAAAGATACATTAGAGTATAGAAGTCTGGCCATCAACATAGTGCATACACATTTTAAATAGTTTCAAACAAAAACAATTAAAGCTTTGCATACTCATCATCAAGCATGAAATACTTTAAACGTTGATTTACATGAAGCCAAAACTTAAAATGTATTAAGTTAGTGATTATTGTTCAACAAAACAAATTCCAAACTTTTTTTATTATAATTTAAACACATTAAATATCATTCTGGAAGATTTTCTCCTCATAGCTTTGACAATTAACCTTTTCATTGTAAGAACACAGTAATTAACCACCAAGCCCCCGTATCACAAAAGGTATTCATTTGCGGAACATTCTTAATCTCAAATTCCCTTAAACGATACATCTCTTCTTTAAGGTTCTAGAGTTGAATTTTCTGCAATTAATCCACTGTTTTAAATTATGTAGTGATTTTGTTATATGAATTAATAAGAAAAAAAACCCTATTTCAATTCACATTGACAAAACAAATCCCTTGAATAATAATCTGAATTTGAGAAATGAGCACGTTCTGACAGTTAGGAAGTTTTGTGAGGGCCAAGATCAGTAGATGTAGAAGAAATGAAGATATTTATGTCAATTAAGTGTTACATCCCAGCACTACTTTTCCTTGATAAAATCAATTTTAATCCACAAGAACCTTTTAATTCAACCACTGATACTACAATAACACCATCTATCGTTTTGTTCACAATGGAGTTCAATTTGTTTGATTGTCGCAACTGGAATCCAAATTAAACCTACAGAAATCATTACTTGTTGCCTGGTATAGCATCCACTCACCCAGCAGTCAATCATTTAGTTATCATACTATGAAGACGTGAAAAAGAAATACCAGGTTATCAAAATTTGGATAAATGATAAAAGATGATGAGCTTCTGTAGAAATGAGTATCTCAGTATTTCTTTAACATATGTCTGATTTCATTCATTCATGTCACAAACTCTCATCAGAACTCTGTTTTCTGCTGATGTACCATTTCCATCATTACAACCTAGTGACTGCGTTATGTATAACAAACATCAGACCGACTTGTGTAAAATTAAAATAATGACAAACCACTTAATACATCCTGATGTATATACATGGTCCAGCCTTGTACTGACCCTTAGTCCATCATTGCAAAGAGACTCTAAACTATCCTGAACTATTTTCGATCTCTAACTATAATACAATTGTCTTTAACTCATTTACCCCTAAAATTTCATAATGAATTATTCCAACCTTTGAATTGGAAGAGTTCAAATGAGTCTGCAGGTGTGATTGAGTTAAATCCTTAATGTTATAAAGCTGACTGATACAGGGAAACTACAATATCGTCACTTTTTACAGGGGGAAAAAAACAATGAAAAAGTATTTTTGCTTTATAAACTTTTTTTATGGAAGGTTAAAGAGATCCATTTGGCACATCAGCTTTGTTACCAATGGTTATGAAATATTTTCTTATTAACGAATGAAAAATAATTTACATTCTTTGTACTTTTAATTTACCAAATTTCCTTTTAACAGAATTGGTGTGGAGAATTCCTGTATGGACATATTATGTTCTACTACTGTAAAACCTGTATTTGGAGACCCCTTCCTGAAGTCAATAACATGGTCTAATCACAGCTCTCCTAACACGTTAACATGACAATAACTGTAAGGGGAGGTATACAAACGGTTTCCACTGTACATACTTAAGTACTCTATACTGATTTTGAAGCCAAATACTGGTACATTTGTGTACATGTATTCAATTTTAATTCAAATACTCGTATAATAAATTCCAATAATAAAACATGTTTTCATTGAACATAATATGAGACAGTAGTATCTGACTAAATATTTGTTTACAATGTTTGATTATAGCAACAGCCAGATAAGTATCATTTTGAATGTTCAATGAGTTTTTAAGTTGTCTTTTTTTGCAAATCAAGTATCCTTTTCCCACTGTTTGCTAATTACAGTTTGACTAGTTTTACTCTACTTTTCATAACATTCTGCTGAATATGGTTTTCTTTTAAGAAATCAATTTATCAAAACTACAGACATGCTGGAGAAACCGTTTCCAGTGCACAGTTACTGTTTTTGACAGTGATATGAAAATCCTTAAGAAAAGATCAAACAAGACAATATAAACCTACAATTGTACTGTTCTACTAACGAAGGAAACGCCTTCTTTGCCCTAATTCTTCAACAAGAAACAAGAATGAGCTGCAAGGTGTTTTTTTTACATCTTTTAAATATATTTTTAATAAAATCTTAAGCTTTCTGATTTCAGCAGTAAGTGACAATACAAGCTGTGTGCCTTGCATTTAATAGTGAAAATAAATTGTACATGTGTATGTCCCAAACTAGGCACGACAATAAATGTATGTCAATAGGATCAGCTTCCTCAACACAATAACTAGTGATTGTGGAAAAAAGGTTCTGATAATACTATTTTTAAGCGTTTTTTTCTTTCATTTTTGTTAAAATTACATGCATAATCAAGTCAAAATTATCCAATAATAATTTGATCTAGATTTATAACCATTTGGTTGTTTTTTGCCTATTACTTCTATGATTGTACCCGATAGTGTTAGTTGAATTCTATGGATGGTGTCATTTCAAAAGAAAACCTGAAATCCTGGGGTGAAAAACGTTATCACCTGGAAAACAGGAAAACGTCCTTCCATAACTAAACATTCACTTACAAGAGCTATATTTATCACAAAAACAGAAGTTAATAATGCCTAAAAATCATACAACATTTACATGCTTAACAAGAGATATCTTCCCTGATTAAAAAAATGTAAAGTTGGCGTTGTATTTGATCGACTAAGTAAACTCCAAACAGGCAATGCTTGAGCATACACATCCCTCACAAAACACTCACACTTAATCTAACTCTGTAGGCAGCCAGTATATACAATCTTTAATTCTCATTCATTCCCTGTCAATCACGTATAATGACTTGCATTTAGTGTACAATTATTCACTCATACATTTACACTGTTACAATATTTAGACCTGCATAATACAATTTACTTCGATATGAGTGATCGCTTTCAATAGTTTTGGCATTCCTCATGTAACTAAATCACAAATCCACTCTCAAAAATAAGAACTTGAACAGAACATATTTACCAAATATTGTTTTTTTTCTGTTCATAAAAATGATCACTCAATCTATGATATATATACAGCTTGTTTGTGAATTTACCTGTACATGTTCATATATTGTTCTCATTTCTCTAATGTCCATGGGGCCTGTATCACTCTCTTTATTGGATATAAAGTAATAAATATATATCTTACATCAACATATATAACAACCCATTCTTGACTTTTACCCTATGGGTGGCCTACAATGTACTTACTTATATAAGCTACCCCAGCCAAAAAGATAAACTAGCTGTGAATTTGAATCTATCAATTTCACTGCTTTAACCCTCTCAACAGTGGTTCATAATGAACTCATCCAGATCAATGCATGGTAGAGTTTACTAAAGTTATATAGGGTTGAAAGGGTTAAAGTTAGCAGCAATGAAAGTGTTTTTAATCTAAATATGCCTGCAGTCTTTAGTGAAGTTTAAGGACAGTAGTAGGATTCTAATCTAAACAGACTTAATGGCATAAAAACAAAGAATATCAAAACTATATAAGGTTCAATTTAACCTGTGAATGCGATGCTAAGTGATTTAACATAATTTAATTTAAGTGTACACTACAGGACTACGATCCACTGTATATGAAATGTAAGATCCAGTTTATATTACAAAGTATAGTCAATTTTTAACAATTACTATTCTTAAGGAAATTAGTCCTACACATGGATTCCTATTGTATCTAGATTGAACTTTGACCTCCATGAGGCCTTTTTCATAGCCATGTAATCTAAGTACAAACATATACTTCTTTCTATCCCCTTTGGCATGCTAGAACAATATTAAACTCATCTGTGCCTCTTATGCATGTGTGACAAGATTGCTTTAATTTAATCAAATAGCTTATTTTTTTGTGAAATCTTTACAGGGGAGGGACAGGAAAGTTCAAGATGTCAGAAAAGTTGGACACATGGATGGTGTGCCATGGCATGTGGCTCTTTGGGCCAGGATAGCTCAAATAACATGAAACTGGTGGCTCTTGTAAACAAATCTTCTATATATATTCTTAATTACATGTGAATCAGCACTTAAGATTGGTAGTCATGGTAATGTGAAAATGTTTCTGAACACATTCCTGACAACGGTGGAACAAGGCTTGGTAGCCTGGCATGGCACATCAATGACAACAGAGGATGGTGAGAAATCAGACAGGAACTGTAAAGATGTTCCTTTGATCAATTATAATGGTCTCTCAATCTCCTGGTCACGTCCTGAACCACTTAATCTCCAGTGCACCATAGTAAATACTGCAGTCTCTCACTTGCTATCCTAAACAATATCATCTTCTTTTTAGGTTACTTGATAACCACTCTAAACCTTGGTAAAGTCTGAAAGAAGAAAGTCATTGCAATTAAGATTTTCACCTGAAAGAGAAAATATCATTGTGCAATACAAGATCATGACATACTTCACACAAGAAATTTTTTTCGCGTTTTAACTTTTGCTTTTTTGGCCTGCTGTAAAATATGGGGGGTAAAGATATCATGGCAGCAAATATCCTTACACAACATACCATATTAAGTAATAATGATTACCGGTGACGAGCAAAAGCTTCCTGGTAAACTATATCCTTACACAACATACCATATTAAGTAATAATGATTACTGGTGGCGAGCAAAAGCTTCCCGGTACACTATATCCTTACACAACATACCATATTAAGTAATAATGATTACTGGTGGCGAGCAAAAGCTTCCCGGTACACTATATCCTTACACAACATACCATATTAAGTAATAATGATAACTGGTGACGAGCGAACACTTCCCGGTAAACTATATCCTTACACGACATACCATATTAAGTAATAATGATAACTGGTGACGAGCGAACACTTCCCGGTAAACTATATCCTTACACAACATAACATATTAAGTAATAATGATTACTGGTGGCGAGCAAAAGCTTCCCGGTAAACTATATCCTTACACAACATACCGTATTAAGTAATAATGATAACTGGTGACGAGCGAACACGTCCCGGTAAACTATATCCTTACACAACATACCATATTAAGTAATAATGATTACTGGTGGCGAGCAAAAGCTTCCCGGTAAACTATATCCTTACACAACATAACATATTAAGTAATAATGATTACTGGTGGCGAGCAAAAGCTTCCCGGTAAACTATATCCTTACACAACATACCATATTAAGTAATAATGATTACTGGTGGCGAGCAAAAGCTTCCCGGTAAACTATATCCTTACACAACATACCATATTAAGTAATAATGATAACTGGTGACGAGCGAACACTTCCCGGTAAACTTTATCCTTACACAACATACCATATTAAGTTATATAAATGATAACTGGTGACGAGCGAAAGCTTCCCGGTAAACTATATCCTTACACAACATACCATATTAAGTAATAATGATTACCGGTGACGAGCGAACATTTTGAAACACAAAACAACACACAAGATAATTTTGTTTCCCTTTTTTTTTTTTAAATGTTTGTCAAAATACATGTATTAACTTACAGTGATAAAGACCACACTGTGAAATGGAAATAGCTGTTATGTGTCATTCTCTGACTAGTTAAGTAAATATCTATACCTGACAAAACAAAGCTTTACATGTATGGAATTAGGTACAAAGTTGTATACCACCACACGTATAGATAATTATATATAACTGGTAACCTTAGAAACATGACAACATTCACAGTTAAATGTGAAACTGTGAGACAACAGTACACTGGTATATATTAAGCAGACCTCGTTTTTCAAAGCATGGTCAGCTTAGTTACAATCTGATGTAAATGTTTCATTTTGAATATCTTCCTCAAATTTTGAAATTAAAAACTAACACTACATGTTTAGTAAATATCATTATAATCCTGAGACAAAACATGCAAGGTAATCAGTCAGTTTTAAAATATGTATAAAATGTTTTGCATTTTTTGAGAAGTTGATAAATTAAGCATGCTTGGAACGACCAGGCCATGGCAATTAACACCAGCTAGTAGATAGCTATCACTGTCAATAAAAGTAATTACATTTGTAGGTGGAGTATATCTGAAGGCATTTGAAACCACAGGAGTTATGAAGTAGTGGTAGGCATGACACAAGAGTGACTTGTACCAGCTAAACCAGCTCTCAGGACAAACAAAAAACAGATTTGTTTCCTAGCTGTTACATGTCTGTAAAATTAGGGTAGGTAGTAGGTAATACATTTTATTTTTCAACATTTTTTATAAGGTTTGTATTGAAGGGTAATCTTGACTTGCATTAGTACTGTGTTTCCTTGAAAGCTGCAAAAGCACTAAAGGGTAGACACAAACAAGAGTCCCAATGGGCCTGCATCACTCACCAGGTACTAATTATAAAATATAATCACACACTTGTGACCTTAAAAGTTAACTGGTAAAAATGTAACTAATAAAAATCTCTGATAAATCATTCCTTTATATGTAAACACATGACCTGAGTACTGTAGAAATACTCACCTATCCTAATTAAAAGTATGTCCACATAGATACTAAATGTGAACCCCTTCCCGGTAAGAGCACAGCAGGCCTGTATATGTACACATAGAAATAAATACTTACCCCTTCCTAGTAAGTATAGATATAATTACTTACCCCTCCCCGGTAGGTAAAAATATAAATACTAACCCCTCCCCGGTAAGAGCCCAGCAGGCATGTATTTGTTTGGTTTGGTTTAGTATTGTTTAACGTCTTATCAACAGCTATATGGTCATTTAAGGACGGCCTCCCCTGTGTGCAAGATGCATGCGTGTAGTGTATGTGTGTGTGTTTTGGGAGGCAGCGATATGTTTGTGTTTGTCTCCTTGTGATAGCACGAAACTGATACCAACTTTATAGTGCTACCTCACTGAAACATATTGCAGAAGACACCCAGCAGGATACCCCACCCGGTCACATTATACTGACAACAGGCGAACCAGTCGTCCCACTCCTAAATTGCTGAGTGTTAAGCAGGAGTAGAAACTACCAGTTTTACAGACTCTGGTATGCCTCGGTCAGGGGACAGAACCCAAAGCCTTCCTCACAGGGGCGAACGCTCAACTAAAGGCCAAAAGTTAGGCATTGGCCAGAGAGACATTAGGAAGAAGAAAGTTGTTTAGAAAGAAGAGAAAAGATAAGATCCCAAATTAAGTCGCCTCTTACGATCATGCAATTGGGGCAGCAGGTACAATTCTTACGCCCTACCTGCAGGGAAGCCTCACAGTATATGTATATAGAGATATAAATACTTATCCCTTCCCAGTAATTATAGATATAAATACATAAACTGTACTTACCCCTCCCCAGTAAGTATAGATATAAATACATAAACTGTACTTACCCCTCCCCAGTAATTATAGATATAAATACATAAACTGTACTTACCCCTCCCCAGTAAGTATAGATATAAATACATAAACTGTACTTACCCCTCCCCAGTAAGAGCACAGCAGGCCTGTATATGCCAGGCATGGTCCTTGACTGATGTCAGATTCAGGTGTTGTGATATCTCGGCCGCAGACATTGAGCCCTTTATGTCTTGTTTGTTAGCAAACACTAGTACAGCTGCTTTCCTCAGATCCTAAAATTGACAAATTATACTGTTCAGTATCAAAATCAAATATCTAAACATACATTAACATTAACACAGTAGACATAGATTAAAACTGGATATTTAGGTTATAGCTCAATACCGGTAACGAAAAGGTTTGAAGCAGATGTCAAAATACTGGGGTATAGGCTACAGACATCTACTTAAAGTCAATTCAATACTATAATACCTATAGCCATCATCCCGATAAACACTGTCACCGGTAGTATACTTAACTGGGGAATCTCAAACATCTCCATGATATCACATTGGGGCTAATATAAATCCCCAGACTCAATGCTGGTAATATGTCTATATGTCTCTTCATGCCCAGTTAATACATACATGCATGGTTTTGGGGTTTCTGGATAAATTTTTAAGTTACAACCCTTTTCTTATAGTCTCCCCCCCCCCCTTGGGATTAGTCCTCCATTTATGCAGTCTTTACTGGTGATCATCATAATAATTAAATAATAATAATTTGAGATTCTTATATACTGCTTTATCACAACCTAGGTCGTCTCAAAGCAGTTCACAAATTATTATCCGTGGTTATAGGGTCTTTGCAATCAGCCAATATCTCTCTAAACTATTTGGGGAGTTACCAGCCGGTGCTCCCTGAGGATCAGCCCTGTGACTTGCTTTGTTGATTCCCCATATAGGCACCACTTGGGGAATGTTTTCAACAAATGACTGATAGACATTAAGTTGAAGAGGACACTTGAAGCAATATGGCCGAATTTTCCCTTTTCGGCCCCATTCCTCAGACCCCAAACTGGGAGTCAGCTGACCACAACTGGTACCATCATGTATTGCAACCACATACTTTCATCTAAATATAGTAGATTATTACATTAGGTGAAATTCTTTTCTGGGGTTAAGAAGAAGGGGCTCAGTTGTTTGAAGAAATTGCTGACGGACAGAGGCTTATTAAAGACAGATGAATAATGGATGCCACAATAAAGCATATTTTCATCTTAGTCCAATTAGTCGAGGTGAGCCAGATTATATATATGGGCATAAACTCTCTGGAATTGACTAATCATGACTGTAACAGCAAACTTCACTGTACCACTAAAGTATTTATAATATGATGATGAACCATGGCCATGTATAGGTAGATTGCCAGATTGTATAGCTATGCGTACCTGTCTGTCATTTTAACCCTAAGGCTAGTAACGGTAATGCTAACAACCGTTTGTATAAACATGCAAATGGGATAGGGCATGTTAACCCTTTCACCACTGTAGACCATAATGGAATCATCAATATCAATGCATGATAGAGTCTACTTAAGTTACATAGGGGTGAAAAGGTTAAGGTAATTTGGCTAATCTACTGAGGGAGACCACCAATACAGTTAAAACACCTTTTTTATCACTAGTTATGGTCTATAGCCTGAGGCAACTTACACATCACTTCTCCTTTGTAAACTGCTGAGTAATCAGCTCAGTCAGAGACGTATAATACAGAGATTGGCAACTTGCTCTTGGCCTTACCATTGGTCACTGGTATCGAGAGTTACGCTTCACCTGCGCCATATTGGATATGCGGTTCGCTGCATTCAACTCAAATCATAATTATGCCATGAGAAAACATCGCAAATCAACGTAACATTAAAACCGTACGTAGCTACAAAATGTAGCTGAGATTTCCATGCGGTTTGGGAGTGCTACATTGAATGTAAACTTGAATGATTAAGTTTAGAAAACCCCAAACATCGAAAGATTGCACATCGTGGCTGTGTTTACATATCGGTAATTATTCTGGCTTCAGGATAACACTATCTCCGTTTTTGTTCTTTAGACAATTTCAAAAAAGTTTTCAGAAATTAATTATATGATAATATTTCTAACCAGGAAATTTAAATGAGGTTGTTACAATACTTGCAAAGTTTCATAATTCAGCT